TTGACAAACTAAAGGTTTTGTTATAAGCAGGTGCCCTCTACTTATGTAGACACATGTTACTTGTATGAGTCAGAGTTTACCGTCCACTCCGGTTTGTTATGAGCAGGTACCCTCTATTTATAAAGACACATGTTACTTGTATAAGTCAGTGTTTACCGTCCACTCCGGCTTGACCAGGATCCCGGTGATCTCCATGACCAGTGTATAGGGGGGCTGGACAAAGGGGGGCTGGAGGGGCTCAGGGAGCAGCTTCTTCCTGGAGGGCTCCTCCATCTCCTGTTATCAGAAAACAGTAAAGTGTAATGTTAACAAGTGTAAAGTCTGATTCAGCAAGTGTAAAGTCTAATTCATCTCCTGTTATCAGAATACAGCAAGTGTAAAAGTGTAATGTCAACAAGTGTGAAGTCTGATTCAGCAAGTGTAAAGTCTAATTCATCTCCTGTTATCAGAATACAGCAAGTGTAAAAGTGTAATGTCAATAAGTGTGAAGTCTGGTTCAACAAGTGTAAAGTCTGATTCATCTCCTGTTATCAGAATACAGCAAGTGTAAAAGTGTAATGTCAACAAGTGTAAAGTCTGATTCATCTAATGTAAAGACTGATTTATCATTTATCTAGTGTAATGTCTGATTCATCTAGTATTATGTCAACAAGTGTTAAGTCTGGTTCAACAAGTGTAAAGTCTTATTCGACAAGTGTAATGTCAATAAGTGTAAAATCTTGTTCACCAAGTGTAAAGTATGATTCAACAAGTGTAAAAACTGATTCTACAACTGTAAATTGTGATTCATCAAGTGTAAATTAACAGGTGTAAAGTCTGATTCAACAAATGTAAAGTCTGATTCATCAAGTGTATCAACAAGTGTAATTCAACTAGTTTAAAGTCTGGTTCATTGTTAATCTGATTCATCAAGTGTAAAATCTGATTCATCAAGTGTACGGACTGATTCATTCTAAATGGCTAATAATGACTCAATGGAACAGATAGCATGTTACATATGGTTAATAATTATGTTTAAGAAATATACCTGTTTCTTGATTTTAAAGGTGGCAACACTTCTTCGAATGGAGAAACCTGCAGCAAACAAGATGTGTTACATGGTAGATGATTACTATATTATAGAACAAAGTCTTATCCAGGGTTCTCCATCATTTAGAATATTACGGTGTTGCAGAGATTAGGTGAAGCACTAAAATTTTGTGGTATTTTCACGATCAAATTCGCAACTGAATCACTATTCATTATACCAGGTTATTACAAAAGAATACATGCACACACTTTTTTAAAAAATCGCTAATTTGTTACACAAATGGTATGGTCGTACATATTGATTAAAGTAAAAACATATAAAAACATTTTTTAAAGTAAATTTGTCATAATTGTTTGTCAGTTTTCTTGATCCAATTACCAAATTACAAAAAAAAGAATCTTCAGAAAAGTAAAATTCTTTTAGGAGTTCTTTGAACATGTTGAAAATTTTATTTATATACATCAATACGATCTACGACGTAATGTTTGACTTACAGTGCTAACATAATTCTACAGCCGTGGCTCTATAGAAAAGACATATTTATTTTTTTTAATAATTCAATCTATTTTAATGCAACTACCAATTAACCGTTACATGGAACCAAAAGTGTGAAAACAAATTATTTGTCTTTGTTCCTTCACGCGTAAAGTCCGGCAAGGGTATAGGAGATAATTGATTATGCAAGGTGAAGCCCTAGTAATTAAGTGCTCTATCTTTTAGAATTGAAAGACGGTAGAGTTGATTGATTAAAATTTCAGTTAGAGAGAATTTAAATGTTTGGATTTTCTAATTATCACAGATATCACTGTGTCGGCAAAATTTTTACTGTGTCACACACAAAATTTGAATCGCTACTGTGTCGGAGAAAAAAATTTACTGTGTCGGGAGCAACACAGTAAAACAGCTCATGGAGAACCCTGCTTATCATAAGGTGTTAATTATTGTCACATTTTACTTGTAGATAATTTTTTTTAATGTGAAATATTTTTAAATAAAAAATACTTTCATTCAGCATTAAGTTGCACAGAACTCTCAAGCTATGACAAACGTACAGTACCCTATTACAATTAACATGATTTACTATTAATGTACTTGGCCTTGAAAATTCTTACCTTTTCCAAATTCATCCTCAACCTACAAGACAAAGGATAAGTTTGACAGAATTTGTTAGACGTGCATACTGGGAATGACCTAAATTATGTACATTTAAGCAGAAAAAATAATAAAAACAATTAAAATTAGGTGAACTACTGCAAGAATTAATGCACAGATACAAGCATGATTTAAGGAAGATTTATCATACTTACAACATTGCCTTCTGGGTCTGTTGGTGGTAGGCCTAAAAAAATGTACATTAACCGTTTACATGTAGTTTTAATGGTCACTGTCAAATCAAGTGTAAATAAATTGTAAAATAATAAACTAGAACTTGAATTCTGAACTCTAGAGTCATTTAGATTATTGCAGTTTCTGTCTTATACACTTATTTTTCATATATTTTTGATAAATTTCTCAATGAATTTCAATGAAATATGTTTCAATGAAATAAATGTCATTGAGAAAAATATTAAAAATATATAATGCCTTTACCGAGCCACATCAGCCAGCACTGTAATATCCAGGGACAATACTGGTTCTTGTCATGTGACAGTACATACAGTGCATCAAAATTTAGACTGCATGTGTCTCATGCAGTTTGAAGTTTACATGGTCAAATCAAAGTTGCAAGTTTTACTCAGCTGTGTGAATCTGCGATCGCCCATACAGTCACAGCATAAAAGTAAAACATATTAATTTATTTGTACAGAAGTAAATTGTTCATTGTAAAAATCTTAATTTTGGGCATAGCAAAGATTTTTCTTAGGGCTGGGATGATATATCGAGATATCGATATATCGTGATATATGTGAGGACGATACACATATCGTTACATTTGAAAAAATATCGAAATATTGCCCCAAAAAATCTGACTTCTGTTTTTCTTTGTTTATTTAACATTTGGGGTTTAATATATAAAATAAATAACTTAAATATATATATAGATATGAAATAAATAATAATTAACACCACTTGAGTAAAATATTTTTGTTTTACAACATATAAACAACTATTTTGAATAAAATATTCTCATTTGCAAAGAAATAATTTGTTTATTTCAATGCAAAAAAAGATTTTATAAGCAATTAAACATGTGATACATATATCGTATCGTGGCTCAAATATCGTGATACATATCGATATAGAAAAAGTTGTATCATCCAAGTCCTAATTTTTCTTACATTCAGAACATTTAACAGTCAGAGGATTACTTTTATTTTTCAAATTAGAATGAAAAAACAAACAAAAATAAAAAAAACCTTGAAAAGTTTTAACTTCTTTTACACATATGTGGGTTATGTCACAGGGGCTTGCTCCCAGCGTGTAATATAAATTACTTGTATTTATTTTTAAAAATCACATATAATTATTACCGTATATGATTTTTAAAAATAAATGTTTAAATTCAGCGTAATTTTCTTTATAAAATCCATGACTTTTAAGTTTCTATAACACATGCGAAAAATTGTAGGAACTACACGTATATGCTACACAGTAGGAACTATATGCATATTCAATACTCTAAGAAAATCAAAAATGTACAATGTTTTAACTCTATTTCATACAAAAAACTATAACACCGTTATATTAAGTAATGTAAAAATACAACAAATGGGCATTTAAAATGCGTTATGTGATGTTGCAACATCATGAACAGCTCTTACGCAACTGTTACGTTTATTACTTACACCAAATTTTGAAGGGTGCTAAATTCACTTTAAAGATTAACGAAATAAACAATTATGAAGAGGGAAAATTAATGAATGTAAATACATGTATAAGCATTGGATTCATATTTTTGGATGTCGCCTTGTCGGCGGTCCCATAACACACAGGTGGCCATGCCGACAAATAATCGTACCGCACCAGTATTCAGTTTGTTGGCATGGCCAGGTATGTTATAGGACCAACAACATCCAGAAATATGAATTCAATGCTTAAATAATTATTACACGCCGGGAACAAGCCCCTATTGTTATGTGATTTTCTCACCTAAAATATATGCACCATAAACACACCCTGCTGAAAAAGAAGCGAGTGTGAACCACATAAAATATTCCCCGTACTTCTTCCATTTGGATTTTTTCTCATCTCCCTTTTCAGAGTTCACGTTTGAGTCTGACGTAACACTGTTGTTATATATAACACTCCTGCTATGAAACAACCGATCAGTCGACCTTCGGAAAAACACACAAGCACATAAACCTAGCGGGGACCGTAATGTATCTGGTCGATAAAAATATCGAAAGTTTGTTATAGATCTAGTGTTATCATAAAAATCACATTTGATGCTTGTTCCCTTATTAAAAAGTATTCGTTTAAATAAACATGTGGACCTGAGAGCTGACATTTTTACCGGAAATAGTATCCAGCATAGTAAAATCTAGAGTTTTTCTATGTAGTAAAATTCCGGAAAAGTATTTAAGCACAGTAAGCAGAACGCGGGACTGAAAAATCTTTTTATATCTTATTTCTTAAAGATATATTTAATGTATATTGTACGCAAGCAGCAAACACAAGTCTTTTAAAATAAATAATATAAATAATAAAATATCAGAGGTGAGACAAGGTGCCATGGAGGAGTGAGTATTCCCTGTATACCAGTCACGCCCGCCGTGTGCTCCTTGTCATGGTCGGAAAATACAGAACTTTTTAAAAGTCTTTTCAGTTAAGACTGTTGATATTCTTGTTTCATTGATCAACTTCATTTTCAGTAACCAGAATAACAAGTCATACTGAATACATGTATAGGAGAGTGGGATTGGGAGAAGTACGATGGGGACAGAGGTGTGGGGATGATTTTGATACTTAGGCTCTAGAAGTTGGGGAAGAAACCAGTACTGGAGTGTGGGGAGGCAGGGTCGGGATGATACTAGTAATGGTGGTGTGTGGTGGTGGGGTGATACTTGTAATTGGGTTGTAGGAAGGTGAGGGATGATACACCAGTACTGGGGGAAGATGGGGGATGATACCAGTACTGGGGGAAAGTAAGGGGATGATGCCAGTACGGGGGAAGGTGAGGGATTATACCAGTTCTGGGGGAATTGAGGGGATTATAGCAGTTCTGAGGGAATTGAGGGAATGATACCAGTACTGGGGGAGGTGAGGGGTTGAGAGAAGTACTAGGGAACAGAGGTGTGGGGATGATACTGATACTTAGGCTCTAGAAGTTGGGGAAGAAACCAGTACTGGAGTGTGGGGAGGCAGGGTCGGGATGATACTAGTAATGGTGGTGTGTGGTGGTGGGGTGATACTTGTAATTGGGTTGTAGGAAGGTGAGGGATGATACCAGTACTGGGGGAAGATGGGGGATGATACCAGTACTGGGGGAAAGTAAGGGGATGATGCCAATACGGGGGAAGGTGAGGGATTATACCAGTTCTGGGGGAGGTGAGGGGTTGATACCAGTACTGGGGAGGTGAGGGGAGGATACCAGCACTGAGGGAGGTGAGGGGTTGATATCAGTACTGAGGGAAGGTGAGGGGTTGATATCAGTACTGGGGGAAGGTGAGGGGATGATATCAGGACTGTTGGAAGGTGAGGGGATGATACCAGTGCTGGGGAAAGTGATTAAGGGATGATACCAGTACTGGGGGAAGGTGTGGGGATGTTACCAGTGCCGTGGAAAGTAATTAGGGTATGATACCAGTATTGTGGGAAGGTGAGGGGATGATACCAGTGCTGGGGAAAGGTGAGGGGATGTTACCAGTACTGGGGGAAGATGAGGGGATGATACTAGATCTAGGGGAAGGTAAGAGGATGATACCAGTACAAGGGGAAGTGAGGGGATGATACCAGTACTGTGGAAGGTAAGGGCATGATACCAGTACTGGGAAGGGTGAGGGAATGATACCAGTACTGGGCGAAGGTGAGGGGGATGATACCATTATTGGGGGAAGGTGAGGGGGTGATACAGGTACTGGGGGAAGGTCAGGGGATGATACCAGTACTGGGGATGGTCAGGGGATGATACCAGTACTGGGGAAGTGAGGGGATGATACCAGTATTGGGGAAGGTGAGGGGATGATACCAGTACTGGGAAGGGTGAGAGCATGATACCAGTACTGGGCGAAGGTGAGGGGATGATACAAGTATTGGGGGATATGAGGGAAGGATACCAGTGCTGGAGAGATGAGGGGATGATAGCAGTACTTGATGAAGTAAGGGGATGATACCAGTACAGGGGGAAGGTGAGGGATTATACCAGTTCTGGGGGAAGGTGAGGGGATAATATCAGTACTGGGGGAAGGTGAAGGGATGATACCAGTACTGGGGAAGGATAGGGGATGATACCAGTACTGAGGAAGGTAAAAGGGATGGTAACTGTACTGGGAAAAGTAAAGAGGATGGTACCAGTACTGGGGGAAGGTGAGGGGATGGTACCAGTACTGGGGAAGGTAAAGGGGATGGTACAGTACTGGGGGAAGGTGAGGGGATGATACCAGTACTGAGGGAGGTGAGGGGATGATACCAGTACAGGGGGAAGGTGAGGGATTATACCAGTTCTGGGGGAAGGTGAGGGGATAGGGGATGAAACCAGTACTGGGGGAAGATGAGTGGATGATACCAGTAATGGGGAGGGTGAGGGGATGATACCAGTACTGAGGAAGGTAAAGGGGATGGTAACTGTACTGGGGAAAGTAATGGGGATGGTACCAGTACTAGGGGAAGGTAAGGGGATGGTACCAGTACTGGGGAAAGTAAAGGGGATGGTACCAGTACTGGGGGAAGGTGAGGGGATGATACCAGTACTGAGGGAGGTGAGGGGATGATACCAGTACAGGGGGAAGGTGAGGGATTATACCAGTTCTGGGGGAAGGTGAGGGGATAGGGGATGAAACCAGTACTGGGGGAAGATGAGTGGATGATACCAGTAATGGGGAGGGTGAGGGGATGATACCAGTACTGAGGAAGGTAAAGGGGATGGTAACTGTACTGGGGAAAGTAATGGGGATGGTACCAGTACTAGGGGAAGGTAAGGGGATGGTACCAGTACTGGGGAAAGTAAAGGGGATGGTACCAGTACTGGGTGAAGGTGAGGGGATGATACCAGTACTGAGGGAAGGTGCAGGGATAGGGGATGATACAGTACTGGGGGAAGATGAGTGGATGATACCAGTACTGGGGGGAGGTGAGGGGATGATACCAGTACTGAGGGAAGGTGAGGGAATGATACCAGTACTAGGGGAAGGTGAGGGGATCATACCAGTACTGGGGGAAGTGATTAAGGGATGATACCAGTACTGGGGGGAAGGTGAGGGGATGTTTCCAGTACTGGGGGAAGATGAGGGGATGATACTAGATCTGGGGGAAGGTAAGAGGATGATACCAATACAAGGGGAAGTGAGGGGATGATACCACTACTGGGGAAGGTAAGGGCATGATGCCAGTACTGGGAAGGGTGAGGGAATGATACCAATACTGGGCGAAGATGAGGGGATGATATCAGTACTAGGGGTAAGTGAGGGGATGATACAAGTATTGGGGGAAGGATACCAGTACTGGGGAGATGAGGAGATGATAGCAGTACTTGAGGAAGGTAAGGGGATGATACCTGTACAGGGGGAAGGTGAGGGATTATACCAGTTCTGGGGAAGTGAGGGGATGATACCAGTACTGGAGGAAGATGAGGGGAGGATACCAGTACTGGGGAAGATGAGGGGATGATACCAGAACTGGGGGAAGGTTAGGGGATGATACCAGTACTGGAGGAAAGTGAGGGGATGATATCAATACTGGGGAAGATGAGGGGATGATACCAGTACTGGGAAGGGTGAGGTTATGATACCAGTAATGGGTGATGGTCAGGGGATGATAGGGTAGGTGAGGGGATGATAGAAGTATTGGGGGAGGTGATGGGAGGATACTAGAACTGGGGGAGGTGAGGGGATGATACCAATGCTGGGGGAGGTGAGGGGATAATATCAGAACTAGGGGTAGGTGAGGGGATGACACAAGTATTGGGGGAGGTGAAGGGATGATATCAGTACTTGAGGAAGGTAAGGGGATGATACCAGTACGGGGGGAAGATGAGGGATTATATCAGTTCTGGGGAAAGTGAGGGGATGATACCAGTACTGTAGGAAGGTGAAGGGATGATACCAGTACTAAGAGAAGGTGAGGGGATTATTCCAGTACTGGGGAAGGTGAGGGGATGATGCCAGTACTGGGGTAGGTGAGGGGATGATACCAGCACTGGGGAAGGTAAAGGGGATGGTAACTGTACTGGGGAAAGTAAAGGGGATGGTACCAGTATTGGGGGAAGGTGAGGGGATGATACCAGTACTGAGGGAGGTGAGGGGATGATACCAGTACAGGGAGAAGGTGAGGGATTATATCAGTTCTGGAGGAAGGTGAGGGGATAATATCAGTACTGGGGGAAGGTGAGGGGATGATACCAGTAATGGGGAGGGATAGGGGATGATACCAGTACTGGGGGAAGGTGAGGGGATGATACCAGTATTGAGGAAGGTAAAGGGGATGGTAACTGTACTGGGGAAAGTAAAGGGGATGGTACCAGTACTGGGGAAGGTAAAGGGGATGGTACCAGTACTGGGGAAGGTAAAGGGGATGGTACCAGTACTGGGGAAGGTAAAGGGGATGGTACCAGTACTGGGGGAAGGTGAGGGGATGATACCAGTACTGAGGGAGGTGAGGGGATGATACCAGTACAGGGAGAAGGTGAGGGATTATATCAGTTCTGGGGGAATGTGAGGGGATAATATCAGTACTGGGGGAAGGTGAGGGGATGATACCAGTAATGGGGAAGGATAGGGGATGATACCAGTACTGGGGGAAGGTGAGGAGATGATACCAGTACTGGGGGAAGGTGAGGGGATGATACCAGTACTGAGGAAGGTCAAGGGGATGGTAACTATACTGGGGGAAGGTGAGGGGATGATACCAGTACTGGGGAAGGTAAAGGGGATGGCACCAGTACTGGGGGAAGGTGAGAAGATGGTACCAGTACTGAGGGAAGGTGAGGGGATGATACCAGTACTGAGGGAGGTGAGGGGATGATACCAGTACAGGGGGAAGGTGAGGGATTATACCAGTTCTAGGGGAAGGTGAGGGGATAATATCAGTACTGGGGGAAGGTGAGGGGATGATATTAGTACTAGTGGTAGGTGAGGGATCATACAAGTATTGGGGGGAAGGATACCAGTACTGGGGAGGTGTGGGGATGATACCAGTACTTGAGGAAGGTAAGGGGATGATACCAGTACAGGGGGGAGGTGAGGGATTATACCAGTTCTTGGGAAGTGAGGGGATGATACCAGTACTGGAGGAAGATGAGGGGATGATACCAGTACTGGGGAAGATTAGGGAATGATACCAGAACTGGGAAGGGTGAGGTTATGATACCAGTAATGGGTGAAGGTCAGGGGGTTATATCAGTACTATGGGTAGGTGAGGTGATGATACAAGTATTGGGGGAGGTGAGGGGAGGATACCAGAACTGGGGGAGGTGAGGGGATAATATCAGTACTAGGGGTAGGTGAGGGGATGATACAAGTATTTGGGGAGGTGTGGGGATGATACCAGTACTTGAGGAAGGTAAGGGGATGATACCAGTACAGGGGGAAGGTGAGGGATTATATCAGTTCTGGGGGAAGTGAGGGGATGATACCAGTACTAGAGGAAAGTGAGGGGATGATACCAGTACTGGGGAAAGTGAGGGGATGATGCCAGTACTGAGGAAGGTAAAGGGGATGGTAACAGTACTGGGGAAGGTAAAGGGGATGATGGTACCAGTACTGGGGGAAGGTGAGGGGACGATAACAGTACTGGGAGAAGGTAAAGGGGATGGTACCAGTACTGGGGGAAGGTGAGGGGATGACACCAGTACTGGGGGAAAGTAAGGGGATGATACCAGTAAGGGGGAAGGTGAAGGATGATACCAGCACTGGGAAGGGTGAGGGAATGATACCAGTACTGGGGGAGGTGAGGGAATGGTACCAGTTCTGGGGAAAGGTGAGGGGACGATACCAGTACTGGGGAAGGTGAGGGGATGATACCATTACTTGGTGAGGTGATGATACCAATATTGGGGGAAGGTGAGGGGATGATACCAGTTCTCGGGAAGGTGAGGGGATGATACCAGTACTGGGGTGTGGGGAGGTAGTTAAATGATAAAAGAAGTGACATGTACTGTATTCAGGAGATGACTTAAAATGAAATTAAATATCAAATTTTTTTTTTAAAATGTTGAGTGATTATGAACTCTAAAATAACAATACTGAAGACATATTGTACAATAAAATATTTATTTTTATACAAATACATGTACATATAAACAATACCAGTAACAAGCAATGTTGGTCCATTCATAAACATTTTTTCCACAAGATAAATGTTTGTATGCAATAAACTCTAAGCTTTCATAAATTTATCAACTATACACAACTGCATCATTTCAATGAATAAATATAATTCAATGATATAATCTGGTAAATTTTTTTTTAAATATTTGGTTTTGAGATAAGAAAAAAAACCATGGATTCAATAGATTTACTTATGGCATAAAGAAGTGATAAACTGAAGGGCCACAGAGCTCACCTGAGTAACATCTACCTCCAGGCAAAGTTCAACCTTAAGTTCATCATTACACAATTTCAGGTTTTAGTATACTGAACTTTCCACAAATTTTGACTTTTCTGGCCTAGAGGTTCTATTGAGATGACTGTTTGGGAGCCTAATTGTATTTTTGCCTTTTCATGATTATTTCCCTTTGGAAGTGGCCATGGCTCTTGAAAGGTTTTGACTTTTTTTTAAAACCTAAGAATGCTATGTGCCTGCTTTTAGTTGGACGAAGAGACAGACAGCTAGCAGGAGGGATGACAGACAAAGGTGATCAGAAAAGCTTACAGCTCATGTGAGTTAGATCCTCATAGAGTCAATTTGTAAAACAAAACTGATATGAGTTTGAACCCTACACATTTGGAAAAAGTTGAATTTTCTTGCTTTGGTCAAGTTGGTCCATTAAAAGCAATTATCATAACAAAAACGAAAAACTTTATTGACAGCCAAACAGACAATGAGATGAATAATTTAGAACAGCTCACTTGAGCCTTTGGCCGACTAAATGTACACATGAATAACTTTGAACAGTAATAATATTAGAAAAAAAATCTTTCAGTTAAACTTCTTTAGGAACATGCACATTTACAAGAACATTTTTACAGGGATATTGAAAAGATTCTACTCTTTTCTGTAAAAACAATGTATTGAATTAAAACTCAGTCTCTTTTGTACCAGACAAAATCTCAAGTTCCATCATCAAGGTGCTCTAACAATAAAATGTATCAATTGATGAAGATGGTCATTATAAACAAAGTCAACCATTGCAGAAACCTAAACGAATGTTCAGAATCTGAACTACAGTGTCAGTATGCAATACATTATTAAGCTTTTGCAGCAGGCAGATATTAAAATATACATGTATAGAGATGAGTACAAAAAATAGTATTTACATGTAATTCTATAGAGACCAAAATCTCACTCTGTATTGAGAGATAGTTTCCAGTGAAGGTACTGAAAATGGCCGCATGGACAGTCATCTGAACTTCACAACCACCTCATCATTTTACAAAAAAAATCAAATTAATAATGTATTATGTCAAACTTAAAAATTAATTAAAAAGAAATATGATACATGTATGTAGAAAAAATAATCCAGATTATAACACTGGATCTAACAAAATACTTGCATACATCATGAAAATGTCAGTACATTGAACAGGTCCAAAGACTATTTCTACCTACGTAGCTATGTAGGTATTTAAACCTACCCAAAGTAGCTATTTTTACCTACTTTTTGTATTATCTGCATTTTGTGACCAAAAGACCAAATGGCGCAAGTGAATACCATATATTTTGATACAGTCACACTAATGATGAATACAATGAAATTTTGGCCAAATAATGATTACTTCCTAAATCTTCAATTTTACATTAATTTCTATGCAAAATTGTTAATTTATGAAGTAATCATTTTTTGGTCAAATTTTTGTCATATCCATCATCAGTGACTATCAAGAAATATGGTATTCACCATATTGCCCCGTTCAGCCATTTGGCCACAAAATGCAAATAAAGCAGAAAGTAGGTAAAAATAGCTACTTTGGGTAGGTTTAAATACCTACATAGCTATTAATAGCTATATAGGTAGAAATAGTCTTTGGACTGGTCCTGTTGATGGCAAGAAATGTAAATGGCACACTGCTATCAGTATAATTGTATTCCGACTCTCCCCTCCCCCACCTTCTTTCACAAGAATATAAACAACTTTGTATGGAAATGTATGATGTAATGAACTCTGTTATGCAATTTGTACACTGATCACATGATGAAATGACAGCACAGCCACTGACTTAACAACAGATACACATGAACAACAATATCACACCCCCCCCCCCCCATCAAACCTGTAGGCAACACCATTATCTGACAACAAAATCATTTATAAAGACTTTGCTTTGAAATTGACTGAATACAAGTATAAGATAATTACTCACAACACTATCCATTTTGTTACAAAAATCTTGGAATCACATTTATTCTCCCAAATCTGATATAAGTACTGATATATTACTTAGTATGTGATCTGAAGTGGATAAAATGTTTAATAATTATCACGCTTTTGTAAAATCATCAGAAAATGTTTTTGAATTCACAATAACTGTATGGGACTCATCTGATAATCTACATGCTCTGTAACCCATGAATGATGCACAATGATTTTCTCTATGAGGGAGCTTGTGGGACTCAAACCCATGGTTTGCAATGATGGATAACTTATGACTAAATGGATATCAAAAAAAAAGTTTACACTGCCTACATATCATTACAAAAATATAAACAGCTAACATCACAGGACTCTAGTTCTGGACTTCTTCACTGGGTCTACGTGAACTGCTTGTGTCTGAGAATTCATCCACATCTGAGCTGATTTCAAGGTCATTGTCCCTCAAGCCTTCCCGATGTGATGATGTCATTATTATTGGAGGCTCATTATGTTCCACTCTGTAAGGATGTAATGATGTCATAATTATTGGAGATTCATTGTTCTCCGTCCCCTCACGATCTAACGATGGATGTTCGGAGTCCTCCACTTCCTCCCCATCTAACGACGTCATCATTATGGGAGGCCCGCTGAGACTTGAATAACAGTGTTCAGGGGGAGATAAATGGGGATAATAAGGAGGAATCCAGCACACACTGGCTGGAGTTGTCCCTCTTGTACAGATCTCTACACAGGAAGTGCTCATGGCTTCAGCGTAAGAAGGCGGGTCCTCTATCTGCTCATTCACTTCCTCTGGCAGGAGAACGGAGTGGTTCAGATCCGATTCCGTGGCCTCCATATAGCTGGGTGGGGCATTGTCATCTGTGCTGCTACAAGAAAATAAAATTTCTCTTCGAGCAGAAAAAAAAATCTTTTGATTTATATTTACTATTTTCAACATAAGAAAGATCTGTCATCACTCTTTTGTAAAAGCATCAAGAAACACCTTATAATTTATATTATCTGCATGGGAACCTTTAATACCATTTCACTATTGTACATATCATTGTTTGCATTTTACTCTTACCTGTATATTTCATTGTTCAACCTTATATTTTAATAAAAGTTGTACATTGCACTCTTACCTGTACATTTAAGTCTTACCTGTATATATTACTCTTACCTGTACATTTAAGTCTTACCTGTATATATTACTCTTACCTGTATATATTACTCTTACCTGTATATATTACTCTTACCTGTATATATTACTCTTACCTGTGCATATTACTCTTACCTGTATATATTACTCTTACCTGTGTATATTACTCTTACCTGTACATTTAAGTCTTACCTGTGTATATTACTCTTACCTGTGTATATTACTCTTACCTGTATATATTACTCTTACCTGTATATATTACTCTTACCTGTGTATATTACTCTTACCTGTGTATATTACTCTTACCTGTATATATTACTCTTACCTGTGTATATTACTCTTACCTGTGTATATTACTCTTACCTGTATATACTACTCTTACCTTTGTATATTAGTCTTACCTGTACATTTAAGTCTTACCTGTATATATTACTCTTACCTGTATATATTACTCTTACCTGTACATTTAAGTCTTACCTGTGTATATTACTCTTACCTGTATATATTACTCTTACCTGTATATATTTCTCTTACCTGTATATATTACTCTTACCTGTGTATATTACTCTTACCTGTATATATTACTCTTACCTGTGTATATTACTCTTACCTGTACATTTAAGTCTTACCTGTATATATTACTCTTACCTGTGTATATTACTCTTACCTGTAGATTTCACTCTTACCTGTACATTTCACTCGGAGTCAAAGCCTCAATAATAACAGTCTCTGGGGGATTGTCGCCATCTTGATTTACTGCCATTGTGGCTATGGCTTGTCTTCTCTGCTGTAAATTAAAATTCATATTGAAATTCCTTGATATTTTGAAAATTTGTGTCTTAACCAAACCTAAACATAGGAATAAGCTATAAATGTGTTATAGTTTTAATACATCAACTGTGAAATCTCTTCATTTACATGGTATATTTGTCAAATCCCCAGTCTCCTGAGTTGACCTATCTGTACTCCCATCTCCAGCCCTCTGAGTTGACCTATCTGGAATTCCATCCTTAGCCTTTTAAGTTAACCTGTCTGTACTTCCATCTCCAGTCTATTGAGTTAACCTGTCTGTACTTCCATCCCCAGACTCCTGAGTTAACCTATCTATACTCCCATCTCCAGCCTCCTGAGTTAACCTATCTGTACTTCCATCTCCAGCCTCCTGAGTTAACCTATCTATACTCCCATCTCCAGCCTCCTGAGTTAACCTATCTGTACTTCCATCTCCAGCCTCCTGAGTTAACCTATCTGTACTTCCATCCTCAGAATCCTGAGTTGACCTATCTGTACCTAGCTCCTCATCCTCCTGAGTTGACCTATCTGTACTTCCATCCTCAGCATCCAGAGTTAACTTATCTCTACCTCCTGAGCCTCCTGAGTTAACTTTTTCCTTAACCTCTTGTTTTGACCACCTGTACTTAGCTCCTCAGTCTCCTGAGTCTTACCTCCTCATTCTCTTGAGTTGAAGTATTTTTACTTAATTCCTCAGCCTCTTGAGTTAACCTATCTGTACCTAGCTCCTCAGTTTCCCGAGTTGACCTATCTGTACCTACCTCCTCAGCCTCCTGAGCTAATCTATCTGTACTTCCCTCCACATTCTCCTGATTTGACCTATCTGTACTTATACTTCCTCAGCCACTTGAGTTGACCTATCTGTACTAACCTCCTCAGCTTGTCTCTCCAGAAGCTGTTCTTTTCTGGCTTGTAAGAACTGACATGAAGCAACAAGGAACACAATGAGAGAAAAACCAATCAAGATGGGGCCTGCTTCAACAATACCACTTAATCCAGCTATAATCAAAATAAAACCCTCAGTAAATCAAAGTAAGTTCAGTGATTGGGAAGGGCTTGCGTCATGCGCCATAGTCGCATTGAAGTGAAAAATGGCGCATTAAATCAATCAATCATGGCGCCAAGGTGCGCATTCAATTTTTTGCAATGTTATTTGGAAATATTTTGTGTACGACTTTCTTTCTTGTTTTACTTTCGTTTCAAATGCAGTCAATCTCATTGGTTGAAACCTGTCAAAAAGTACTTCCGGTTAAACGAAGCGATACTTTATTCATTTGTTTGGTAGGGCTGTTCCCTTTCCAAACTGTCATAATTTTTAAACAAAATATGGGTCAGTTACATTCTAGGCAAGTTCCTTTAAATTTGCTACATTTCATGCGTTAAAAATCAGATCCGGTTAATAAAAATCGTGTTTTCTCTCGTATTTCATATTTGTTTGTCACTTTGTTATTTCTTGAAATGGCCCTTCAGATTATATTGATGGCCCATTCATTTTCAAAATGGCCCATCAAAAATGTTGACAGTTGTGCCATAGTCCCATTGACCATTTTGGCCTTCCCAATCACTGTAAGTTTTATCATAAATTGATAATTACTTACTTCTTTCAAAATATCTGTACAAAAAAGGATACACACACTAGAATTGATATTAAGGTGCAAAATATTATTTATTTAAAAATACAAAGTTTTGTAAATGTTTATCCACATTCATGTACACATGATACAGAATACTAGATTTGAAGATAATACATTTACAATACACATACCTATCCAGGTCAACATTATACCAATGGTCAGCAGGATCCCAGCTATGACCCCGAGAAAGAGTCCCCTAAAGCATGGCTGCTTCCCCCGGGGCTGGACGGTGCCAAAGAAGGTGTGGTGGGTGGACGACCATTGCTGTCTGCGACTCACCGAGATGTGGCTCACCCGGAACATGGTCATTCCCCAGTCTCCATGGTAACCAAGGGGTGTTTGATGAGTGAGCACTCTCCCTTTTCATAATCAAAAAAATCAGGTAAATAGTTTTATTCTTGCATAGTTATCATAATTTTATAAAAAAGAAAATTATGAGGATTGAAGACTGACTTATGATGTATGGCTCTCAGAACAGAAATTCAGTGAAGGGTAGATTCCTTTCTTCATGACACATGCATTAACTGAAGCTGTTTATTTTGAAGAAAAATGTTCAGGGCTAACTTTTAAGTAAAGGGTGCTGTATTCTTTTGAATTGGAAATTTTAAATTAAAAATACGTGTATTGACAAATGAAAATACTGAAATAATGAAATTGGAAATATTGATGACAAATTATGTTTTAGTTTCACAGCAGGTGCTGGCACGAAAAAGATCCCTCCCAGTTCAATAGCCCTAGGTGCTGAGTATAGGACAAAATTTGCAGCTCGATCTCCCCTGGCAAGTGGTTGCCTCTCCATATGAGTGAAAAATTCTCGAGAGGGACGTTAAACGACATGCAATCAATCAATCTAATCAAGCTAATTAAGGCAGCTTGACTATATGGGCAGAGTATAGCTGCAGAACTGTAGCATTATGATTTAATATATTAGTCTTTGACCATAACGCTACAGATCCCGTGATGCAAAAAATGTGCAATTTACAGCGCAAGATTTTTTGCGCAATGTTTGGAAGAATTTCTCCCCTTTCCAACATTGGTAAATTATTTACCTTTCCCTCCATAACTCTAGACATTTTTTTAAATATATCTGTATATTTTGTCCACCTCCAAACCCTTCATAATCGTCTCTACAAGCGACAAACTTGCTTGAGCTAAATTTTTCTGCAATCCCTCAGATAATTCAACTCAAGCTAGTTTATCGCCCATAGAGGCGACTATAAAGGGTTTAGAGGTAGATTATAAAATATACAAATTCATGGTTTAAGAATGTCTGACATTAGGGGATGAAAGGTAGACGAATTACCAATGTTGGAAAGGGAAGAAATTCTCCCAAATAGTGTGCAAAAAATCTTGTGCCATAAATTGCACATTTTTTGCATTATGGGATCTGTAGCGTTATGGTCAAAGACTAAATATATAAATTACCATCATAACGCTACAGATCTGCAGCTAGACAGAGTATTAGCTGAAGTATTGACATTTTAATAGACCATGAAGCATCCTATATTAAGTTCTGATATAAAATATCTTATTGTATCAAGGAATTTATAAAAGTTTAAAGCAGCAGCGGCTATAAAACATTAATTTTAAATTAATTTTCAAAAGATAATTTATATCCTAAAATTTCTTTATCAATTTTGAGAAAAAAAGTTGACATTCAACATTGTTTTTGTTTTTAATTGAACTGAAATTTTCCAACATTTCAAATTCTTATTCATTATGAAGCATACAGTCATGCAGTTAAACACATTAACTCCATGCATGTACAGTGATGTTTGTCGTGTGCATTTATGCCTCTCATATTAATGCAACGATAATCGTTAAAATACTTCACTTCAACATATAACTCAGTGATATTGCACTTCTAAGATTTAATTCAGTTCATACTCTTTGGTGTCACCATTGTCTTCAGATTCCAAGAGGTAAGATTTATTTTTACCTTTTGACACATTCCTTTAAACATAAATCCTCCAGCTGTTAAAATTTCAGAGTATCCCTAAGAAATCAGTACATGATTATGAGGAAAAGACATGAAACCAAGAGCTAGGTCCAATCCCAAAAAACTAAACTGTCTGAATTCTAAACGTAAAGAAAATTTAAAACAAAGAAAAATCAAAAAATCCACACTTACGGTACTCCCCCTTCTTGCCAGCATCAGCAACGTTTGTTGTTAGAATGAAATTGTCAAAGGAGTTCCGCAAGCATTATATAGCTTTGTTGGAAAATTCTAGAGGTATTCCGAGAATGGGCACCTGAAAGGTAAAGGTCATTTACTCATCAAATATGGCGGAGCTTCAGTTTGAGGCACCGCTAGCCAAGTTTGAAAACGAGGAATGGAATGAATACAGTGAATTTCAGGAAGCTATAACGGTAGAAAATATTCTAAAAGAAGCTGAATCTCATCAAACGAGTGAAGTGAACGAGCACGAGGACAGTGAACACTTTACAGAGCCTTATTCTGGCTCGTTAGAAGATCTCGTGAACTCTTTTGACGAGAAAATTACCAAGTGTTTCTGCAATTTTGAGGAGAATGTTAATGACAAAATAGCCCCTGTACAAATACGAAGCCAAGAAGAGATAATTAATGATTGTCAGTGAGTAATTATTGTCATTATTTACGTCTATATTTCACAGTCACAGGAGAGGATCAAAGATTTTTTTTTGTTTTGGTATGGGGTGTTTGTGACAAATATTCTTCACATGTCCAGGATTGGTTTATATCAGCCGTCTGTTAAGACATTTGTGAGCTGAGTTTGTATCAGAGTGTTAACTAAACATGATTTATTGATCATGTTAAATATTTTATGTGTTGCCATCAATTCCAGGTCTAGGAGGGCAATAGCTGCAGATCTGTAGCTCTCCGAAAAAATATATTGATAGACCGGAGAGCTACAGTGCCGCCCATTGAAAAAACTGTATATTTATTGCGCACAAGAAAGTGCGCTCAGTTCTTGATTAATTCTTCCAAATTCTAACCTCAATTGCAAAAGAGGGAACATTTTAAACATTCCTTTCTCCTCTATCAAGTACTCTCGTAGTTGACATCTGAACGAAGCATATTGGACCGAATTATCTTTGAAACCAAAATGGCAGCATAAATAAGCGAAATGTTCTATGATTACAATATCAGGGTCAGGAGGACTATTAAAAACAATTATGAGGAATGTTTGGTTGTGGAAACAGCGAAAGAATATGTTAGGAACACACGGTTAGTAATGTTTTGAAATCACAGTTTAAAAACATGGAGAAATAAATCGAGAACCGAGCGCACTTTTTTGTGCGCAATAAATATACAGTTTTTTCAATGGGTGGCACTGTAGCTCTCCGGTCTATCAATATATTTTTCGGAGAGCTACAGATCTGCAGCTAGGAGGGCAATTAAACAATTTAAAAATTGTTTTGGGAATATTCTGTATCTGGTATACGGTTTGGGGAATTGATGTGGAAGTAGCATATATATATTATATGTGAAATAATATATTAGGCAGGGATAAGGAAGAAGCTGCTCTGTTTGCCAAAATATAGTGCAACACAATAATGGTGGTGATGCGAGCATTAGGCTATATGTGCCGGCAAAATCACACCCATGCACTGGCAAAGAAAACTTTCCTCCCATGTGATTCATAAGAGTCAGGTCGTTATGGACGGCTGACAATGTCTTTATAAAACTTCAACATGTTCAACCTTCATTGATCTCTTAATCAGCAGTTTAAAAAGAAATAGGTGCTGTGGTTTTAAACATATTATTTTCTATAAAATATGTCTTGCCACAGTGTTATAGATGACAAATTTATATGATAATTTATTAAGTTCATAGAAACAAAAAAAAATCATTTCTATACTAGTCAGTGTATGATTTTTTTTAAAAGTTCTTAAATTTTGTTGTCAGAGGTATATGCATTATTATAGCTGCATCACATCACACTGTGTTATATTTTAGATTTTAAAATTGACCCAATACGTCTTCTCTCTCAGCCCCTTATATTTCAAAATGATAAATAACAAAACAACCAAGTTATATGACTGGATGAAAAGCTGCAGCAATTAATTACTATAATAATTATAAATTTTAATCTGAATGATTTTCTCTGTCAAAGCATTTAAAACTTTTAATCTCTAATTGGACTAAAGCTACCCTTTAATACTTTCTCCGAGTATATTCTATCCCATCTTTCCTCCAATCCCAACTACTTTCTAAAATGTTTAAAATTTGTTGGAGGTAAACATGGTAAACGTTCTGAATCTGTGGCATTTGATGAAATTTTTCAGAATAGAATAAGCTTTTATAGCCATGCACCACAGATACAGAGTCCTCACTCAGATTTTTATACGCCCGTCTTAAGACGTTATTATGTTATAGGCTTCATGTCCGTCCGTCTGTCTGTCTGTCTGTCTGTCCGTCTGTTAGCTTTTCTCGTGTCCGGCTCATAACTTGAATACTATAAGGCCTAGAGTTATCAAACTTTGTCAGCTGATACATCTTGGGTAGAAGGTGTGTCGCGCACAAAAAGTAGGTCGCTCTGACCTATAATTAAAAAGTTATAGCCAAATATGGAAAAATCCTGTCCGGTTCATAACTAGAAAACTATTAGACTTAGAATCATCAAACTTGGCCAGTTTATGCATCTTAGGTAGAAGGTGTGTCGCGACCTATTTCAAGGTCACTGTGACCTTTAATTTAAATGGAATATTTAAAAAAAATGTCTTTTTTTCTATTCATTTACACATTCAAAAAAATGTAAAACTATTGCACTAACCTTATAAGAAAAATGTTAAATTAAGAAAATACTTATTTTTTTAGCATATATACTTGACAGCAATCTATAACAAATGTAATGTATGTTAGAGAAATTCCACCACTCCCATGAGTCTAATTATCAAGCACTGGTCAAGAAGAATTTTGATAACAGAAAATTGCATGTCAAGTTAGAGAGAGAAATTAATGAGTTTAGTGTGAGGAGTAGCTGTAAGAGCATCGGTGCTATCTATATCCCTTGAGTATTGGGCCAAATGGGTAAGCCTTTTGGATTAAAAATAGCTCTTCTTGGATAGCCAAAGTTTTAAAATGAATTTGATGAGAAGTAATTAAAACTAATTTGATATTGCATATTAAACTATTACATAATATTGTGAACTTAAAAATTAATTTTATGGGGGTAGGGGTTGAATCTGCATGTCCATGTGAATTGCATATTAACAATTAACTGTCTGACATTAAATCTAAAAAAAAAAATCATTGATGTTTTATACGTTTTAAAAATGTTTTATGGTAGATAGTGCAGATCCAATAATCTTTTGGGAGTAATGAGTAGACAAGCATCCAGTTAAAGATTAATTAATGTGTTCAATGTAGGAAGGCTAGCTGCATGTCTCTTTCATTACTTCAGAGCATGCTCTTAATTGTCTCCTTCGGGAATTAGACAGAAGAACTGTTGGTCAGTTTATATTTGATGGCCAGCCTTTTATTTCCAAAATTAATTAGGTATAGATTAAGTTGTGAAGATTAATTTGATTATATTGTTTAACATGATAGGCATTTGGCAAGGTATAGAAATCTATGAATGATGCAATATTTGTTATAATTAATGCCTACACCACATGAGATGGATAAACAATTTTTTTAAGGTGTGTAAAAATCATTGAAATCTTAAAATCAAGGTTGACATGATTTTCCTGCACTTTTAACTGTTTAAGATACATTTTAATTGTAATTTTTTGACGGGCGTATCATGCTGTGGCGTGGCACTTTATTTATATTTATTTTCTTTCTGCATTTTAAGTTATCTAAACAAGGCGTACTTGCCACAAAATGGCTAGAGATTTAACCATCATGTCAGACTCAGGATGCATGAAATTTCCCGGACAAGACATTTTAAAATTGTCATGATTGTGGCAAGTTTATTTTTTTTTTTAATAAAGAGAAAATTGTTTTCTTAGACACATGTTTCAGATTACATAGTAAAAAGTTTTTTTTAATTATGTTTACAATGTGAATTTTCATTTTTTTTTTATATATATGTAAGACTCCAAAGTCCGATGGTGACGCCAAAGTCCGATGGTCTCGCCAAACCCCGATGGTCTGCGCCAATCCCCGATGGCACGCTGTCTTTACGGGCGCCAAAGTGCGATGGTCACGCGAAAGTCCGATGGCTCGTTTCCTATGAGACGCGCGACGCTAAAGTGCGATGGTCTGACACGCCAAAGTCCGATGGTGCAGAGGAACAATCAACGTTTATGACGTCACAATAACCCGACGTCAATCCTTTACGCTGTTGACCTGCATGCAAAAGCCATAATTTCGGAACTCGTCCTCGCAATAAATTTTATTGATTTTGCTGATTGCTTGCACCTTCAAGAGATACTAGGATTAGTTCTCGCACACCACACGACTGATTAGGTTTGGTTCTTACTTCGCACCAGTCCGAGAGGTTTAGGGTTAGTCCTCGCACACTAGTCGAGTGATTAGGGTTAGTCTCGCACCCACCCAAGATATCTAGGATATAGTTGATACACTTTTCGAACTATTAGGGTTTGTCTCGCATCTATTTGAGAGATTAAAATTAGTTTTCGCAAAATGATACTTATTTATAATTATTTAAGTCATTCGAACGGCGCGACATTGAGGTTTGGCGCAGTAGTACTATGACGTCATAAACGTTGATTGTTTCTGACTTTGGCGTGTCAAACCATCGGACTTTGGCGCAGACCATCGGACTTTGGCGTGACCATCGGACTTTGGAGTCCCATCGCACTTTGGAGTCCTACATATATACTCACGTCTGGTATATGTAAAACAACTTAAACAAGATATTTGTCAAAACTAAAAATTAATGAACAAATGAACTTTGTTATACTGATACCTCAGTGCTATTGATATTCCAAAGCAAATTGGGAGACCTTACCAGTTACCACATTTTCTTTATGTTTTTTAATTTTGATTTCATGAATACCTCAAATTTTGTTCTCAGACCAATCAAATTCAATGTAAATGAGATTTGTCGATCTGTACTTTATATAAATTAAATTTAACTTGGGCTACAAGTTCAGAGTTAGTAAAAGT